TTTTAAAGAATGTGACAATCTCTGGGGTTCCTTGGTTTTTGTTTTTGACAGAAAATGAAAGCATCTCAGGAACCCTTGACGTTTCGTTTTTGAAAAAGTTTAAAAGAATCTAGGGGTCGCAGTGTCTGTTTTAAAAGAATGTGAAAGAATCTGTGAGGATCCTCATATTTTCTTTTACACATTTTTTGACGATCTTACAAATTTCCATTGTTTGGTTTTTGAAAGAGTTTGAAAGAATTTTAGGGTTCCTTAGAGTCTATTTTTCAAAGAATGTGACAGAATCTCCGGGGTCCCTTGGTTTTTGACAGAATTTGAAAAGATTTCCGGGACCCTTGTCGTTTTGTTAAAAGAACCTTGGGGGCCCCTAATGTCTAGGTGTTGTATTTCTGAAAGTTTTTAAAAGAATCTTAGGGGTCGTAGTGTGTGTTTTTTAAAGAATGTCAAATAATCTTTGAGGATCTTCATGTTTTGTTTTGAAAAACTTCGAGACGATCTTGGGAATTTCCAGTGTTTTGTTTTTGAAAGAGTTTGAAAGAATTTTAGGGTTCCTTAGTGTCATTTTTTAAGGAATATGGAAAAATTTTGAAGCTGTGTGTGTTTTATATTTGAAAGAGTTTAAAAGAATCGTGAGGTCCCTAGTGTCTATTTTTGAAAGAATGTGACAGAATCTCGGGGGTCCCTTGGTTTTTGTTTTTGACAGAATTTGAAAAGATCTCAGGGACCCTTGACGTTTTGTTTTTGAAAAAGTTTAAAAGAATCTAGGGGTCGCAGTGTCTTTTTTTAAAGAATGTGAAAGAATCTTTGAGGATCCTCATATTTTCTTTTAAACATTTTTTGACGATCTTACAAATTTCCAGTGTTTGGTTTTTGAAAGAGTTTTAAAGAATTTTAGGGTCTCTTATTGTCTGTTTTTCAAAGAATGTGACAGAATTTCCGGGCTTCCTTGGTTTTTGACAGAATTTGGAAAGATATCCGGGATTTTTGTAGTTTTGTTTTTGAAAAAATTTAAAAGAACCTTGGGGGCCTCTAATGTCTTGGTGTTTTATTTCTGAAAGTATTTAAAAGAATCTAGGGGTCGTAGTGAGTGTTTTTAAAGAATGTGAAATAATCTTTGGGGATCTTCAGGTTTTGTTTTGAAAAATTTTGAGACGATCTTGGGAATTTCCAATGTTTTGTTGTTGAAAGAGTTTGAAAGAATTTTAGGGTCCCTTAGTGTCTATTTTTCAAAGAATGTGACAGAATCTCCGGTGTCCCTTGGTTTTTGTTTTTGACAAAATTTGAAAAGATCTCATGGATCCTTAATGTTTTTGAAAATTTTAAAAGTACCTTGAGGCCCCTAATGTCTGGGTGTTTTGTTTCTGAAAGAGTTTAAAAGAAGCTTAAGGGTAGTAGTGTCTTTTTTTGTAAAAAATGAGACAGAATATTTGAAAATCCTAATGTTTTATTTTTGAAAGAGTTTGAAAGAATTTTAGGGTCTCTTAGTGTCCTTTTTTGTAAAGAATGTGATAGAATCTCCGGGGTCCCTTGGTTTTGTTTTTGACAGAATTTGAAAAGATCTCAGGGACCTTTGACGTTTTGTTTTTGAGAAAGTTTAAAAGAATCTTGGGGGCCACTAACGTCCTGGTGTTTTATTTCTGAAAGAATTTGAAAGAATCTTAGGGGTTCTCTCGTCTGTTTTTTGAAAAATGTGAAAGAATCTCTGAGGATTTCATGCTTCGTTTTGAAAAACTTTGAGACGATCTTGGGATTTTCCAGTCTTTTGTTTTTGAAAGAGTTTGAAAGAATTTTAGGGTCCCTTAGTGTCTATTTTTCAAAGAATGTGACAGAATCTCCGAGGTCACTTGGTTTTTGTTTTTGACAAAATTTGAAAAGATCTCATGGATCCTTAATGTTTTTGTAAAATTTAAAAGAAGCTTGAGGGCCCTAATGTCTGGGTGTTTTGTTTCTGAAAGAATTTAAAAGAAGCTTAAGGGTCGTAGTGTCTATTTTTTAAAAAATGATAAACAGAATCTTTGAAGATCCTAATGTTTTATTTTTGAAAGAGTTTGAAAGAATTTTAGGGTCCCTTAGTGTCCTTTTTTTAAAGAATGTGACAGAATCTCCGGGGTCCCTTGGTTTTGTTTTTGACAGAATTTGAAAAGATCTCAGGGACCGTTGGCGTTTTGTTTTTGAGAAAGTATAAAAGGATCTTTGGGGGCCTAACATCCTGGTGTTTTATTTCTGAAAGAATTTGAAAGATCCTTAGGGGTCCTCTTGCCTGTTTTTTTAAAAATGTGAAAGAATATCTGAGGATTTCATGCTTTGTTTTGAAAAACTTTGAGCCGTTCTTGGGATTTTCCAGTTTTTTGTTTTTGAAAGAGTTTGAAAGAATTTTAGGGTCCCTTAGTGTCTATTTTTCAAAGAATGTGACAGAATCTCCGAGGTCACTTGGTTTTTGTTTTTGACAAAATTTGAAAAGATCTCATGAATCCTTAATGTTTTTGAAAAATTTAAAAGAAGCTTGAGGGCCCTAATGTCTGGGTGTTTTGTTTCTGAAAGAATTTAAAAGAAGCTTAAGGGTCGTAGTGTCTATTTTTTAAAAAATGAAACAGAATCTTTGAAGATCCTAATGTATTATTTTTGAAAGAGTTTGAAAGAATTTTAGGATCCTTTAGTGTCCTTTTTTTTTAAGAAATGTGACAGAATGTCCGGGGTCCCTTGGTTATGTTTTTGACAAAATTTGAAAAAATCTCAGGGACCATTGACGTTTTGTTTTTTAAAAAGTTTAAAAGAATCATGGGGGCCCTTAATGTCTTGGTGTTTTATTTTTGAAAAAATTTGAAAGAATCTTAGGGGTCGTAGTGTCGGTTTTTTTAAGAATCTGAAAGAATCTTTGAGGATCCTCGTGCTTTGTTTTGAAAAAATTTTAGACGATCTTAAAAAATTCCAGTGTTTTGTTTTTAAAAGAGTTTGAAAGAATTCTAGAGTCCCCTAATTTTTTAGAAGAATATAAAAGAGTCTTAGGGGCTCCTAGAGTCTATTTTTTAACGAATGTGAAAGAATTTTCGGGACTTCTTGTGTTTCGTTTTTGATAGGATTTGAGAATACTTTGGCAAAACCTGATGTTTTTTTTTTGGAAGACTTTAAAAAGATCTTCTTTGACGATTTACGCTAGTTTGTTTTCGAAAGAGTTTGAAAGAATTTTAGAGTCCCAGAATATCTTTTTTTAAGGAATGTAAAAGAATTTTGATACCGTGTTTTATGTTTGAAAGAATCGTGAGGTCCATTATTATCTTTTTTTAAGTATGTGGAAGAATATTAAAGTTTTTTTTTTAGTTTTGAAAGAGTTTGAAATAATCTTAGGGGTCATAGTATCTCTTTTTAAAAAAATGTGAAATAATCTTTGGGGCCCCTGATATTTTGTCTTTGAAAAAGTTTGAAATCATTTTAGGGACCCCTAGTATCTGTTTTTGAAAGAATATGAAAGAATCTTCAGGGTTCCTCATATTTTGTTTTTGAAAAAATTTGAAAAGATCTTGTGGCTTCCCAGTATATCGTTTATCAAAGAGTTTATCTAAAGATCCTTTCGTGTCATTTTTTAATGAGAAAGAATTGTTTAGGTTTTATTTTTGAAAGAGTATTGAGGTTTCTTGCATAAAATAATCTTCGGAGTCCCTTGCATTTTTGAAAGACTTTAAAAAGTTCTTGGGGGATTTCCGGTGCTTCGTTTGTGAAAAAATGTGAAAGAATATTAGGGTCCCTTAGTGCCTTAGTTTTTAAAGGATGTGAAAGAATATTGAGAGTGTTTGTGTTTTGTTTTTGAAAATGTTTAAAAGTTTGTGTTTTATTTTTGAAAAGATTCTAGAGACTCCTGGGTATTTTAAGGGTTTAATAAAATCTTGAAAACATCGCGAGTTACATGTTTACACAGAATTTAAAAACTTTAAGTGTTTGAAAGTCATATGAGTACAGATTTGAAACGAAAGTAGATTTTTAGGAACCAATAATTTAATTGCGAAAATCGAAAGTACAATAGAATCAGGTTTCATATGCATATAAGCATTTGGCAATTGTCTGATCCTGTATCTATATAGCCAGTTTATTTGCTCTAAACGACTGGTAGAATATGTGCATATATTTCTTATTACCACCTTTTACTTTCGTTACTTTCAATTATCTGCATTAATTGTTCAAGCTAAAAGAATGTATAACAAACACAAAAAATAATTATATGTTGCATACTTAATTTCGTTATATAAAATTCAGCTCACAATTCCGTCCATAAATTTAGATAAAAATGGGTTTCAGGTGAGTTAATTCCCCCAGATGAGATCTACATCTGTCACCGTTATAGGGAAAGGCTGCACGTGTTCCGCTTAACAACAAAACAATTATAAGTCTGAGATGTTGTTCACAATACGTAAAACCATATGGACAGGGAATCAATCCATTACAAAAAAAACTGTTATTACGATGTTTTTACTCGCACCCATCTCCATTACGTCAAAGGTCATACAACCTCCGAACAAAAACCCATTTCCATATCTACTAAATTGACAACAACGGTGCCATCATCAGCGCGATATTTATAACCCAACATCTCCATCCATTGTTGGCTATTTTAAGATAAAATTGACAACCAAAACCTTAAATCACTTTCGGTTTATAAATATGTATTTGACTTTGTACAGTTTCGGTTTTTTCCCTGTCGAAACAAGGCCATCAACATTTTTTTTTAATTCAATAACCCGACGAACCTGAAGAAAACACACTGACTTTGTTTTATCAGCTATCTTTTTGTTGAGTCGTCGATCTCCCAGCGATAACATTGTTCATTAAAGCTGGTGCGGAAACGGCGCCATTATTCTTTAATTTAATGAAAGAAAAAGTGAAAGGTGCACCGCTTTGCTTGATTATGTACGACTGCATTTTTACTGTTTAGCTGGTTGTGGCAAGTTTATTGCGAGATTTTATTAACAATCGAGTCCCTTCTACTGGGATTTTCGTGGAATATCACCCACCTGTGGTAGTTCTACGTATTCCACTCCATGCTGGGCGGTGGCGTTGGGCTCCACGGTCCATATTTTCAGCTTGTTTTTCTTGAACAGGTCGCGGTTTGGTACGAGGGTTAGGTTTAAGTCTTTCCCGAAAACTTTCAGTTTCAGTTCCGTTTTCGGCTCTTCGAATTTCGAGTCGTCGACGTCGATGAGGTTGTCGGACTCGGGTGATGGACGCGAGGGGATTTCTCTTCGTTTGGGTTGATGGTGTATGTGTACGATTTCATAATCTGGAACTGAAAAAGAAAAAGAAATCAAAGAGAGTCTAGGTGAAACTGATTTTACACATCAGGAAATCGATTTTTGGCTGAGTCATTGACTTTGATTGTGAGGTTGGTGTGTCACATAAGCGCTGCATAGTTGCGGAACCAATTAGAGATCGATTCTTTTATTGACGTGATCGGCGGGTGTACGTTACTTATGAGTTTTTAATGATTTAAAAATAGGAAGTGAAACGAAGCCTTGGGTTTATGGATGAAACGAGGAAAATTCTCGGTGTGGACTTTTTTGAACTTCACTATTAAAAGCGTTCACATTCCGACTGATTTGAAAAGTAAAATCGGATACATAAATAAAAATACTTTCACTTAGTCTGTTTATGTTTTCTTGATTTTCAAGATTACAGCGTGGTCAAGTTTCATACTTGTGTAAGTATCGGGTGTCCCAGATTTTTTCACACTGTGATTGTTCTATGGTAATTTTAAATTATATTTGTGTAACTAAAAGCAAATTTTTGAAATTCAAATGTTTTTCCAAAAAATACGACAGTTTTAAGCCACTGAGTCAAGATGTATTTTTTTTTGTTTTTTGGAAATCAAAAATTTCCATGTTTAAAAATTAATAATCAGATCTATGATCTTGCGTTTAAAGATTTTCCAAATTTGTGGATTTATTTCAAAGTTACAGATATTGAGAGAAAACGTGAAAAACTGGATTTTTTTCCCGAACATTCTAAATTTTTTTGTGGTATTTTTAAATATTGTACTTTAACGGGAAACAAATTTTGGAAATTGTGCTTCCAAAAATATTTTGAAAAAATTATTATATGTAGTTGCAGTTCGTTTAGAGAAATTGAGAGGAAACCTGAAAAATTGCAAAGTTTTTTCAGAATATTTAAAATTCTTTCATGGGGATTTTAAAATTGTATTTTTTTTTTTAACTGAAAACAAATTTTGGAAATAGTGCTTTCAAAAAGAGTAACAAGTTATTAAATTTTTTTGATAACCAAAATTTTCGTAGTGAAAAATAAATAGATTTATGATTTACATTTAGATTTAGGATTCTTCAAATCTGTGGATTTATCTCAAAATTTGTAACTGCAGATTCGGTTAGAGAAATTGAGAGAAAACATGAAACATTAAAAATTTACTTCCGAAAATTTTGAATTCTTTTATGATGATTTTAAAATTGTATTTTTTATAAAAAAAAAAAATGGAAACGTGCTTTAAAAAATATTTTGGAAAAATTACGATAGTTATTCTTAGCAGCTGATGTAAGATATTAAATTTTCGATTGAGCTTTCAAAATTATTTCCAAATTGTTGACTCAAACATTAAATTTTCTTGAAAACTAAAATATTCGTAGGGAAAAATTAATAATTAGATTTACAATCTTTGGATTTCAAGATAATAATTAACAGTATTACGAGTAGTCACTAGAATGAAGAGAGGGTGGGTGGGCGGGGCTATTGCTTGCTTATAGAAGTCTCTGTGAGAAAAAGTTAAACTTAGCCCCGCCCACCCACCCGTTCTTTTTTTTTCTGAAATAAGAAATGCATTTTTTTTATTATCGTTCTTTTTTCTCTTTATAACAGTCCAGGTTTTATTAGTTTCTTTGGACTTTACAGAAGAACATATAATTAACTCCGCCCACTTGCCCCACTTTCATTTTAATGATTCATTGTATCTGAATGAAAGATAGATTTTATACTGATGAACAGAAATAAAATTGTTAAAATGAGAATAGAGGGGGAGGGCGGGGCTAGTACCTACTAAAAAAAGACTGATTTTGGCAAATGACATCCTCTAAAAAAATAGAGGGCGGGTGGGCGGGGCTATCACTTGCCAAGATAAGACTGAACAATATTTGGAATAGTCATTGAAATAAAGAGGGGGTGGGGGGACGGGACCACTGCTTGCTTATAAAAGACTCTGTAAGAATAAGTTAAACTTAGCCCCGCCCACCCACCCGTACTTTTTTTTTCTGAAATAAGAAATGCTTTTTTATTTTATTATCGTTCTTTTTTCTTTTTTTTAACAGTCCAGATGTTATTAGTTTCTTGCCACTTTACAGAAGAACATATAATTAACTCCGTCTATTTATCCCTCGTTCATTTTAGTGATGAATCAAAGGTGGATTTTTTCTGATGGACCCAAATAAAATCGTTAAAATGAGAATAGGGCGGGTGGGCGGGGCTAGTACCTGCTAAGATACGGCTGATTTTGGCAAATAACACCTTCTAAAAAAATAGAGGGCGGGTGGGCGGGGCTATCACTTGCCAAGATATGACTGAACAATATTTGGAGTAGTCATTGGAATAAAGATGGGGTGGGTGGGCGGGGCTACTGCTTGCTTATAAAAGACTCTTTAAGAATAAGCTAAACTTAGCCCCGCCCACCCACCCGTTCTTTTTATCTTTTGAAATAAGAAAAACATTTTTATAGCAAATGGTATAACAAAAAAAATACGATTATCGTTCATTCTTCTCTTTTTAACAGCCCAGATTTTATTGGTTTCTTATTACTTTACCAAAGAACATATATATAATTAACTCCGCCCACTTACCCCGCCTTCATTTTAGTGATTCATTGGATCTGAATGAAAGATGGATTTTATACTGATGAAAAAAAATAAAATCGTTAAAGTGAGAATAGGACGGGAAAGTGGGGCTAGTATTTGCTAAGATAAGACTGATTTTGTCAAATAACACCCTCTAAAAGAATAGAGGGCGGGTGGGCGGGGCTAGCACTTACCAAGACTGAACAATATTAAAAGTAGTCACTGGAATGAAGAAGGGGTGGGTGGGCGGGGCTACAGCTTGCTTATAAAACTGTAGAAAAAAGCTAGATTCAGCCCCGCCCACCTCTTTTCTCTATTCCTCTGACTTATCTTATTTATTGTAACATGGGAATTGAATTCTATTTTGACAAGCGATAGAATCTAAGAATTAAAACAAGGTCAAAAGATTAATGATTAATTTGTGGATTTATTTTAAAATTACTGATCCATATAGGGAAATTGAGAAAAAAAAGAAAAATTGTTTTTTTTCCTGAAAATTCAAAAATTTTGTATGGTGATTTAAAATTGATTTTTTTTGAACTGAAAACAAATTTTGGAAATTATGTTTTCAAACATCTTTTGAAAAAATTACCCTAGTTGTTTTAAGCGCCTGAATTGGAAATTTCGTCCTGAAAATTCTAAATTCTTTCATGGTGATTTTAATTTTTTTTAACTAAATTGAGCTTTCAAAATTATTTCGAAAAAATTTCGATAGTTATTGAGTTAAGGCATTAAATTTTCTTGAAAACAAAAATTTTCGTAGTGAAAAATTAATAATTAGATTTACGATCTTTGGATTTGTTAATAATAATTAACAGTATTACGACTAGTTATAGAATGAAGAGGGGGTGGGTGGGTGGGGCTATTGCTTGCTTATAGAAGTCCCTGTGACAAAAAGTTAAACTTAGCCCCTCCCACCCACCCGTTGTTTTTATCTTTTGAACCAAGAAATGCATTTTTATACCAAATAGTGAAATATATAATATAGAATTAGCGTTCTTGTTTCTCTTTTTAATAACTCAGTTTCTATTAGTTTTTTGCCACTTTACAGAAAAACATATAATTAACTCCGCCCACTTACCCCGCCTTCATTTTCGTGATTCATTGTATCTGAATGAAAGGTGTATTTTTTACTGATGAACAAAAATAAAATTGTTAAAATGAGAATAGGGTGAGTGGGCGGGGCTAGTACCTGGTACGATAATACTGATTTTGGCAAATAACATCTTCTAAAAAAATAGAGGGCGGGTGGGCGGCATATCACTTGCCAATATAAGACTGAACAATATTTAGAATAGTCCCTGGAATGAAGAGGGGGTGGGTGGGCGGGGCTATTGCTTGCTTGTTAAAGATTCTGAAAGAAAAAGTTCAATTTAGCCCCGCCCACCCACCCGTTGTTTTTATCTTTTGAACCAAGAAATGCATTTTTATACCAAATAGTGTAATATATAATATAGAATTAACGTTCTTGTTTCTCTTTTTAATAACTCAGTTTCTATTAGTTTCTTGCCACTTTACAGAAAAACATATAATTAACTCCGCCCACTTACCCCGCCTTCATTTTCGTGATTCATTGTATTTGAATGAAAGGTGTATTTTTTACTGATGAACAAAAATAAAATTGTTAAAATGAGAATAGGGTGGGTGGGCGGGGCTAGTACCTGGTACGATAATACTGATTTTGGCAAATAACATCTTCTAAAAAAATAGAGGGCGGGTGGGCGATATATCACTTGCCAATATAAGACTGAACAATATTTAGAATAGTCACTGGAATGAAGAGGGGGTGGGTGGGCGGGGCTACTGCTTGCTTGTTAAAGATTCTGAAAGAAAAAGTTCAATTTAGCCCCGCCCACCCACCCGATGTTTTTCCTTCTAAAAGAAGAAATGCATTTTTAACAGCCTAGGTTCTATTAGTTTCTTGCCACTTTACAGAAGAACATATAATTAACTCCGCCTACTTTTTAGTAATTCGTTGTATTTGAATTAAAGGTGGATCTTATACTGATGAACAGAAATAAAATCGCTAAAATAAGAATAGCACAGGTGGGTGGGGATAATGCCTGCTAAGATAAGACTGATTTTGCCCACCCACCCTCTAAAAAAATAGAGGGCGGGTGGGCGGGCCTATCACTTGCCAAGATAAGACTAAACAATATTTACAGTAGTCACTAGATGACTAGGGGGTGGGCGGGACTACTGCTCTTTTCTCCATTCCACTGATTTATTTTATTTTTTGTGAAATGGGAATTCTATTTTTACAAGCGTTAGAATCGAAGATTTAAAACAAAGTCAACAGATTAATTTTTTTTTTGAAAATTCATTTGTTTTAAAATTGTATTTTTTTTAATTGTAAACAAATTTTGAAAAAATTAGGATAATTCTGACTGAAAAAATTAAGAGTGATGTTCAATTTCGTTGGTTGCTGTTTGTCCCTGGACACAAATAAAAAAAAATTGTGATGAATTTAAAAATTTCAAAATCTTTAAAATAAATAAATCTGGAGTCGTAAAGTTCATTAGTATTTACACACTCGTCTTTGACTTAAATTGAAAAATAGCGTCGAAATTTTCTTCTGTATTTTGTCTCCAAGTTTCAATCGAATTGTCTAAAACCGTTTAAAAATAAATTCAAAAAATTCCCGGAAATAGATCTAAATTTTTATAATTAGTTCCTAGAGTAGTGACAAAAGACTTCCATTTGGAAAGTATTAATGGATTTAATTTTATTTTCTTTTAATCGCAACCAAACAGCTTTAATTAAAAACTCGTTTCGAAATGGTAACTGCTGTGTTGCTTTTATAATGTTTTGTACAAAATGTAAATTCTTCTAAGCTGTTTCAGCGCTACTTGGCATCATTTTCATTCATCGAACAAATCGCGTCTCGAAAAACAAAAACCCGCGAAAAAATGGAAAGTTAAGCAATTTCAATCGAACTAATGAATGTCCCGTTTTGTTTCATTCGCTTTCTTGCTACCTCCAAGAAAAACTTGGCGCACTTTACGCGAAGGTTATTAGCATCATTTCCTCTCAAAATTCGTCAAAATTGGCATTTTCGCGCAATCCTTCAGCTATTTGGAAACTTGTAACCCGCTTCCCACTGTGTAATAGCCACTATTACCTGTCCATAAACGCATCAAGCGACCCTGAATAAAATTTCGCAAGCTTTAATCGCTTTTCGGTGTCGATTGAATAACAATACCAATTCTTTTCCACGCATTACTCACCTAAGTCGTGTCTGTCTACGTGAAACGTGCTCCTGATTTCATCCACTGTCATCAACTTATGAATCTGGAACAGAAAAAACCGTCAAACCCGCATATACACTCAGGAAGTATTTCCAACAATGGAGCGCACGTTACGGCTCGAGTTTTATTAAATTTCTTTTTTTGTAATTGGAAAGTAGATGATTCTCATGCAACAATTACCACGCGAGTAATGATAATACTCGAAAAGCTGGCATATAATTACCATTTGCTAATTTCCTTCCGTCTAGTTTCTAAAACTGACTATCAAATATCGATTCCGGCTCGTCGCTCGACCGCACGTCGAAGTCTCCGGCCTTTTACGCCCAGACTTGGCAAATATTGACCGAAGATTCGGCACCAGTCAACAGAAAATTCAGCAAGGTCTCACGCTTTGTTCGAAGTTAATTACCGGTGAGTTACAAGAGATTTTTCGATTCTAGGTGTTCCGAGCGCTATCGGAGATCTACAAGGTCCGCGCGATGCTCTTATCAAGGACACGAGAGCGACCTTGGCTTAAGTAACTCGATGCACTACTTACGTCATAAGTGGCACATGCGCTCATCAATGAGGTGACTAAGAGTACGATTTGGCAGTTCATTCTTTCCTGCAAAGAAAACGAGATTAGAATAAACAGTTTGAACAGTCAGAGGTGCGAAATTTTTTGCTTGATGGGACTGTCAAAGCGGTGCGGGAAAGCTGGGGTCATTACATGGTGGATGAGGAGGAAAAAAGCATTGTGTTGGTACGATGCGTTCTGCACTTTCTGTTTTGGCATTTGCTAAATGTCAGAGGGGATTAAATGTGTCAATCTGATGGGAAATTAAAGGAAGGTTGATTTATAACCGGGCTTGGGTAATATGGTTTGAGGCGGAGTCGATAATCGCGGTTTATGGGAAAAATGCGGAGGTTTTTGGAATTCGTTTTGCAATGACTGAGGTTAAACGAATAAGAAGTTGAAGTCGTAATTGGATTTAAGATTTTTGCTTTTTTTAATAGAGGTGGCATCACTGAATTTGTGTAACTAGTCGCTGTTTTTATCTTTTTGAGTTTTTTTTTTCAAAATTGATCGATCAGATGTTATTGTGGCGTTTTTTAATTTAAATTAAACAGGAATGTGTAAATACTGATGAACTTTTCGACTCCAAAACTTTAAAATCCATTACAATTTATTTTAATTTGTGTCCAAGGATAAACAGTAACCAATGAAATTGAACATCGCTCTTACTTAATTAGTCGATCAGAACTATGGTCATTTTTTCAAAATATTTTTAATAGGACAATTTTCAAAATTTGTTTTCAGTTAAAAAAATACAATTTTAAAATCACCATAAAAAAATATTGAATTTTCGAAAAAAAAATCCAATTTACATGTTTTTTCTCAATTTTTCAGAAGGAAAAAACAAAGCTTTTTTTCACTTGTAGGATTTCGGTACTTTTTTGATTTTTTAAAATTTTTGTTTTGGGAACGTAAACACTGAAAAATTCTCAATCTTCAGAGAATTTTTAGTCTAAAATGTATTCTTGAGTGTTTCTTACATTATAGTTCTCCACCACATTTTAAATTCTTAATTTAATTTATTATTAATATATCAGAATTAGTTTACTCACTATAACATTCGGAACACTTGTTCTTTCTTATACAATTTTCTATTCTCGCCCTAGAATCTCACACTATTTTATTTTTAAAACAGTTTCGAGAAATTGTTGAGATTTATTCAAAGAAATTAAGAAAAAACGTGAAAAATTAGGGTCTATAATATGAAAAGGTAGGTACTTTGTTTTTTTACAGTGTATTTTAAGATTTTCATGCAGATGTTAAAATACTAATAAATATTTGTCTGCATCCCTACTAAAAATTTGATGACGCCATATCAAATTTTGCCAAGTAATTCATTTACACTTTGCCTTCGACAACTAGATTTTTATAGAAGTTATCATATAAAAAAACGTTCTAAAGTTATTTAGGCAGAACTTCCCTTGCTCCTGAAGTACAGTACAACATCCACCTCTTTCGAAAAATCATAAAATTAGATTTTGCGATTTTGTTGTGTTGTTTGTTGGGTGATAAACGGATACATTTTTATTATTAATTATTATTTATTTATTTATTTCAGAGCATTTGGTTTTAAATTAAATTGTAAAATGTTATTGTACAATTTTGATAATTTTTCCCTAAAATATGAGCGTGTGTAATTACTGTGTAAGATAGAAAATCAAGACGGAGTCATAAGCTATGCATTTCTTATTTCAGTACAAAAAAAAAAGAACAGGTGGGTGGACGAAGCTATTGCTTGCTTATAAAAGACGCTGTAAGAAAAAGTTAAATTTAGCCCCGCCCACCCACCCGTTCTTTTTTTCTTCTGAAATACGAAATGCATTTTTATAGCAAATAGTGTAACAAAAAAAATACGATTAGCGTTCTAAGGTGGATTTTATAGAAATAAAATCGTTAAAATGAGAGTAGGGTGGGTGGCAAGTACCTAGCAAGATAATACTGATTTTGGCAAATAACACTTTCGAAAAAAATAGAGGGCGGGTGGGCGGGGCTATGTCTTGCCAAAATAAGACTGAACAATATTTAGAGTAGTCTGCATTCCTCAGACTTATTTTATTTATTGTAAAATGAAAATTGAATTCTATTTTGACAAGCGGTAGAAAGCCAAAAGATTAATTTGTGGATTTATTTTAAAATTACAGATTCATATAGGGAAATTGAGATAAAACAGAAAAATTGTTTTTTTTTTCTGAAAATTCAAATGTTTTTATGGTGATTTTAAAATTGTATTTTTGAACTGGAAACATACTTTGAAAAAATTACCCTAGTAGTTTTTAAGCCACAGAATTGGAGATTTTATTCCGAAAATCCTAAATTCTTTTATGGCGATCTTATATTTTTGAGCTTTCAAAATTATTTCGAAAAAATTTCGATAGTCAAGGCATTAAATTTTCTTGAAAACAAAAATTTTCGTAGTGAGAAATTAATAATTACAGTATTACGAATATTAGAGTGAAGAGGGGGTGGGTGGGCGGGGCCACGTCTTGCTTATAAAAGCCTCTGTAAGAAAAAATTAAACTTAGCCCCGCCCATCCACCCGTTCTTTTTTTTTCTGGAATAAGAAATGCATTTTTATAGCAAATTGTATTTATAACAAAAAAATATGATTAGCATTCTTTTTTCACTTTTTAACAGTCCAGGTTCTATTATTTACTTGCCACTTTACAGAAGAGCATATAATTAACTCCGCCCACTTACCCTCCCCTTCATTTTAGTGATTCATTGTAACTTGTAACTGAATGAAAAATAGATTTTTTACTGATGAACAGAATTAAAATCGTTAAAACGAGAATAAGACTGATTTTGGCAAATAATACTCTCTAAAAAAATAGAGGGCGGGTGGCGGGGCTTTCACTTGCCAAGATAAGACTAAACAATTTTTAGAATAGCCATTGGAATGAAGAAGGGGTGGGTGGGCGGGGCTACTGCCTGCTTATAAAAGCAAGAATGTCAAAAAAGTTAAACTTAGCCCCGCCCACCCACCCGTTCTTTTTTTCTTGTGAAATAAGAAGTGCATTTTTATGGGAAATAGTATAACAAAAAACAACGATTATCGTTCTTTCATCTCTTTTTAACAGCCCAGATTTTATTAGTTTTTTGCCACTTACAGAAGAACATATAATTAACTCCGCCCAGTTACCCCGCCTTCATTTTAGTGATTCATTGTATCTGAATGAAAAATGGATTTTGTACTAATGAACAGAAATAAAATCGTCAAAATGAGAATAGGGCGGGTGGGGGCGGCTAGTACCTGCCCAGATAAGACTGATTTTGGCAAATAACATCTTCTAAAAAAATAGGGAGCGGGTGGGCGGGGATTTCAATTGCTAAGATAAGACTGAACAGTATTTAGAGTAGTCATTGGAATGAAGAGTGGGTGGCTCGTCGGGGCTACTGCTTGCTTATAAAAGACACTGTAAGAATAAGTAAAACTTAGCCCCGCCCACCAACCCGTCCTTTTTTTCTTCTGAAATAAGAAATGCATTTTTTTAGCAAATCAAATAGTAAAACAAAAAAAAAATATTATCGTTCTTTCTTCTCCTTTTAATAGCCCAAGTTTTATTAGTTTCTTGCCACTTTACACATGAATATATAATTAACTCCGCCCACTTACCCCACCTTCATTTTAGTGATTCATTGTATCTGAATGAAAGGTGGATTTTTGTACAGATGAACAGAAATAAAATCGTTAAAATAAGAATAGGGTGGGTGGGCGGGGCTAGTACCAGCCCAGATAAGACTGATTTTGGCAAATAACACCCTCTGAAAAAATAGAGGGCGGGTGCGGGGTTTTCACTTGCCAAGATAAGACGGAACAATATTTAGAATAGTCATTGGAATGAAGAGGGGGTGGGTGGGCGGGGCTACTGCTTGCTTATAAAAGACACTGTAAGAATAAGTAAAACTTAGCCCCGCCCACCCACCCGTCCTTTTTTTCTTCTGAAATAAGCAATGCATTTTTTTAGCAAATCAAATAGTATAACATAAAAAAAACGATTATCGTTCTTTCTTCTCTTTTTAACAGCCCAGGTTTTATTAGTTTCTTGCCACTTTACAGAAGAACATATAATTATCTCCGCCCACTTCCCCGTCTTCATTTTAGTGATTTATTGTATCTGAATGAAAAATGGGTACTGATGAGCAGAAATAAAATCTTTAAAATGAGAATAGGGTGGGTGGGTGGGGCTAGTACCTGGTAAGATAATACTAATTTTGGCAAATAACGCCTTCTAAAGAAATAGAGGACGGGTGGGCGGGGTATCACTTGCCAAGATAAGACTGAACAATATTTAGAGTAATCACTGGAATGAAGAGGGAGTGGGTGGGCGGGGCTACTGCTTTCTTTTTAAAGACTCTGTAAGAAAAAGTTAAACTTAGCCCCGCCCACCCACCCGTTCTTTTTTTCCTTCTACAATAAGAAATGCATTTTTAACAGCCTAGGTTCTATTAGTTTCTTGCCAAAAGGCGGATTTTATACCAATGAACAGATGTAAAGTCGTTAAAGTGAGATACGAAATGACTGTGTGAGTTGAAAAATCAAGACGGTTTCATAAACTACACCTGGGGGAGTATGTTATTGTATACAGTTTAAATATTAATCTTTAGATATTACGTAAAATTTTGACCTGACGTTTTTGGTATTAACCGAATTTTTAGAAGTTTCCAGTTTTTGTTAATGCTTTTGATTAAAAAAAAACAGAACTAGATAAATTTGACCTAAATTGATGTTTATACAATGACTATATAATTTTTTTTAGAATTTTTTGTCTAAGAGACATATTTTTCTTTAACACAGCGCTGAAACTTTAAAATTTATACAACAAATTTTTCCATATTTCTTAAAAGGAAAAAATGTCATTTGAATATGTGCAAATTTCACGAATATTTTATCCCAAAGAAAGAAATATTGAAGTAGAACTAGGTAAAGTAGATACAAAATCGTGAAAAAAAGAGAAATTCATTTTTATAGTGTTTTGAACGTTCTAAAAGCTGAGGTAACAATTTTTTTTCAATTTTTTTACGAAACAAATTTTCCGCTTGTTTCTTGA